GTGTACCACTGAGTTATATAATGATATGTTGTAGACTGTTCATTTAATTGCATAATCTTATTTGTATGTATATTTCATGGTCGGCTGCGTTTGAGTGCGCAATGTTTGTCTCGTGTACAAAGATTTAAAAAAAATGCAATTACACGATTCTGGGCCAATGCATGTAATAACAGAGAAAAGGAAATAGTGTAAGAATAAATGAGTTCATTTCATTCAGTTATAAAATCGACCAGAGAACTCATGTGCAAATCACACATTTTTATCGGATTTAAAACTTAATAAAAAAATGCAATACCATTTTACTTTTTGAAGATCTATATCTACACCATAAAGACTGAAGAGTAATTTATCCACCTCAATCATGAAGCTATTATAAAAAAGTAGCATATTTAAAATCAATTTTCAATAACCGTTTCATATTTCTCTTGTTAACAATTTAACTGTGGTTAAACAATCAACTGAAGGATTCAGATGTTAGATTATACTTCATTTTCACATCGTTCAAAAGAAAGTATGTCAGCAACACTGGATCTTTGAAAGTGAATTCTAGAAATTATTTAAACACAAGGCAGGCGTCATCAAGGTAATTAATTTCCCTTGTAGCTACCATTCACAGCGTGCGCTAGATCATAAGCTTTAAAATAACATCTCAATCGTTAAAATCGGTTAAATAGGACAGCTGAAAAAGAGATGTTACAGAGAGAACCATTATTGTATATAGATAACCAATATGTCTTCTACGCGGACCTGGCAAAACTCATCTAAGAGCGTTTAAAACTTACTATCTTCTTACTCCTACTCGTTGGTTCTGTGTAATAATTGAGGCATCTACATTTTCTCCAGTTGATCAATAAAGATGATTAACCTTTTAGTTCAACCTACATAAACTTTTTCAAACACTAACAGTGAATGACACTTTTTTATGTATTTTCGTGGTTAAAACGTATTCAAAGATTTCACCATCACAATTTATCATTTTGCCATGATAAAATCTTGGCTTTACCAAAAAAAGCGATACATTTCAAATATTTTCTATGGTATTATAACCAAAGATCACTTTATAATTCACCCAACCCAAGAGAACAGACTTGTAGTTGAAAACTCATTCAAACTTATTTTGTCATGAAACAAATATGAAAACAAGCTTTAAATGCTACAACATAAGAAGTCTACTGTAGTGTTCGTGTTCAAAGTCATTGTAAACACTTTTCTTTGCAAACAAAATATTTCAGGTTTTATCACTAGTTTTTCACTATCCAAACTAAATGATGGGTCCATTTATCTAACACGTCTGGATAAGTGGGATATCATTTGACTAGTTGTAATTTGATTTGGAACAGTTCAAGTGTAAACGCCCGTCACCACTGACACACTACACTGTCATGGATGATTGAGTGACGTCACTGGGGGAGGGGGAGGGGGAGGGTGTACAGGAAGGTGTTTTGGCTGGGGGAGGTATCACAGCTGATTTATTGTACATCCATCACACGTCTGAGGGTGGGTTTGAAAGGCTCTCAAACTGACGAATTCTGAAGTGACTATGCAAAATGTATTTATAATTTTGTTAACTTATGTCTATTTATAAGGATATTAGATAGCAGTCAAAAATGGTTGTACTGGTCTCCTTATACCCAATTTAATTGTTGTTTCTGTTTATTGTATATTAGTCAAACTTTGCTTATAACGTTTGTTTCAATAACTTCTTGCATTGTGTTCATATGTGTACTCTAATTTCTTTTCAATATTTTATTTTAATTTTCCATGATCGTATAGTGTCGTATAGGAGGTCGTATTGCTCCTTACTCTTAACTACACTGTTGAATCCAGTAATAATAATAAATTATTATCTGCATAATAATTAATATTCCTAATAAAATAATAAACATATTTCTCAATAGCCAAACTACAGCATCCAAATAATACGGTTGATTCGTTACGACTTATAATCCAATTTACTTGTTGTTTGCAAGTTTAAACGCAACGGATAACCAAACTATTCTTTTAAATCGGTATTCAAAAAAATTCGTGAATGATTACTTTGTGATTAATTTGTACTAGATGTTTTCCAGTGGTCAAAAACTCGACCAAAAATATGTAATGTACAGACTTCCCTATTTTCACCCCACGCTGTAAGTAAAATATGAGATTGGAATTAATTCCATATCTTTTGTTGTTATTTCGTCACCAGAATGGCAGCCCATAAGGACCATGTTATTTTTTAACTTTTTTTGTGCTTATTTTTTAGCTTGTTTTTTAATTTATAAAGGGATTCTTCGCATCTACAAGGAAATAACAGTATTCGTCGATATGTCCTGTGATGCACACGAGCTGAGAAAAAGGGTTTTCAAGAAACATGCTTGCCTATTAATATATAGATTTACCCCATCTGTGTTTGATCGGAACTTTGTAGTAAAGTAGTCTAGTTCCGATGTTTAGAAGCATTAGAAGAATGTAGACAATTAGAAAGAAATCTTCACCACCCTCCTTATTTGAAATGCTGGTATATACGACCTAAATTAGGATTAGGTCGTAAATCCTCGACAAATAAACAGATAATCTATAAAAGATGATCTCACTCCATTCTTCAACCACGCTGCGTTCACATGGAGTGGTTTCGGTGGAGGCACCCACGGTTCACATACGTATGATGCCTTTTGGAAACAAACTAGTTCGTTTGAGTGAATTGATTAAGTTGTTATCCTCCAAAACTCCAAACTCACACCATCTCGCATTTCTAAAATTACAAAAATAATATTTCTCCAATCTACTTCTTAACCCTAGTGACAGTTAGAGCACGAGCGGTGTTTTCAGTTAGTGGGAGGTCTGTTCAGTACAACACCGGTTCACCGCGCATGACCAGGTCCAGTGATACCAGGATGTGGACGCGGACGACGCGGTGGTGACCAGTGAAGAAACTGCTTAAGAATTCACACTTGGCCATCTGTCAGCTGAAACTAAGGCACGCGCCCCAGGAAACGCGTGCAGCTGTGAGCCACTTCCGGTGTAGCATTGTCAAGTCATTCGTAATTCCTAATATTTATTTGATTGGAGCAAAGAGCGCTGACTTCCTCAACCGTCTTGGGTATGTGGGATGCGGGACGTAATTATGATGGCCAAGGTGTAGACATGGTCAACGTAAACGTATAGTGGTCAAGGTGCGGAGATATTGCCGTTGAAAATTATGATCTGCAAGGTGTTGAGTGTATGGTGGTCAACGGATAATGTGTATACGGGATATTTTCACTGGAAATTTGAAAGGTAACGTTATATTTGGGCAGGTTTCTTTTTGAATTATTCAGAAGTTTCAGAGAAACCCCTTAAGTTATTTGAATAGGCGTTAAAAGAACAACAATATGGATATATTTTTAAAAATATTATACTTTGCCCACCTGAAACTTAATCAATTTTTATTACCTTAGGCAACAAGTTTATTGAGGAGTTGAAGCAAAAAGATATATCCTCAGCAATAAGCTATGAAGTGCTCAAAATATTTTTAAGCTATCTGACAGAAAAATTTTTTAAATATATTAGTTTAGATAAACAATGGAATTTGACAAAATTGATAATGGTGTCATTATAACACAATGGAATACATGTGCAGAAAAGGGAAACTTTAATGCCCAAACAGCTTAGAATGAAATACAAATTGATTGTTGCAAAATGTTTTAAATTTCCAATAAAAATCATCACAAAAATCTCCAATATATTAGTTTGGATTATTATTTAAAACATATTTTATTTGGGTTGTTAATTTTGCAAACTAAAAGATCCAATGTAAATATAGTCATACGTTTCAAACCCCGATATCCCTGGGAAAATTGAAATTCAAAAAACGCAATCTATTGTACTAGAAAAACAAAACACGAACTCAAGTCCGGAGGGGACAAGAATACATGGGAGCGATCGAAAAGCCTTGAAGATGCGACAGTTGTTGCCGTATCAACAATGAATGCGCCCGGATAAAAGATGCGCCCCCATTGTTCTGGGCGCCTGGGGAAGGGCGCCTTTCTTGTATTTCCGTAACGGATTCGATTTTGAGCCAATATGACAGTCCCATTGTCGATTCCTATTGTTTGTGCCAGGTTAGCCTGGGCATATTTCATTTTGCAAGGGATACATTATGTTTGGGAATGCAACATGACGTTTTGTAAGGATTGATCAGGAAGGTTATTGGGAAAAGGAATTGTAGGGAGTGTGTCATTGTTTATACAACTGTACTCCGATGACGTGACTATGTGGTAAGTATAATATATTGTTCCCTTGGTTACAAAATTGAATATACGCTATTCGGGGCTATGACCTACAGAAGAAAAAAGTTGTCTAAAGAAAATCTTAACAATTTTTTATAGGCTACAATCACGGATACTTGGTAAAATATAATCTAAGAAACAAAACAATGGAAAATCATTCATTTTCTTTGCAGTTTTATTACTTTATAAAATTTGTCCAAATTTATAGTGCGTGTGGCCGAAACGCCTGTTAAAATTTATTATTACAATATCTCAGAGTATTTAAGGGATGATTTAAGAAACCTGTAGCTTGCCGGAAGTATGTGAATTGTTGTAAGTATAGTTTTTTTTTATTAGTAACCATATAAAGTGACGCTGTCAATCCCACATTGTGGGTAAAATACGAAGAAGGAGGTATAGGTATTAAGGTATTAGGGTATTAAAATAAACCAATTTAGGAACAACATGGTGACGTAATTAGACTTACGATTCACAATAAAAAAGTTTTAAAAACTTATTGTTTCAGATGACAAATGGTATCTGGGTCCAGAAAACATCCCTTATGAGACGAACAAACAATTTCGGGTTTGAAGGCGACCACCACTTGTTATATTTTCAACTTTAAATATTGAATTCCAAAACAGGAGCAGCTCAGAACCGCTAAATTTCACAGAATGCCAAAAGTATTCTAGAAGGGTTGAGTCTCGTAGTCTTTTTCGTAGTTGACAAACACAAAACTAGGTCGAGTGTACGGCGGCAGGCGTGACTTACGCTTGATAACGCAGATAAACTCAATTGTTCTTCACAAGACTGACTCAGCGGTCCTTTAATTGCTCTAAGGACTCTTTGTTGAGCCGTTCCTGCAGGATATCTTGCACCTGTTCGTCCTTCCTTGATAAGGATCTGTCCCTCCTTCGGGCTTCCGGTCCAAGTCACTCAGTACAAGTCACGAAGGATTACAGTGTGAGAATCTTCGTTAGAACTAGAGCAGTTCGTGCAATTAAAGATGATTCGTGAGGTCACGCAGCAGTGGTTTAAGTGAGTGTTTTAGTGCTTTTCGTTAAAAAACAACATAATTGAAAAAAAAACCATCTAACAAACGTTTTACAAAACCTTTTGGTGTATAGGATAATTACTTGATCAAAACACATCTAATAATGATTGCATGAAAACAAATAGTTAGAAAACCACAAGGTATTGTCGTTGAGGACAAACAAGTTTAAGTTTTAATACCTAATAGTAATTTACATACTTTGAATAGTCAATGAAAGACGAAACAAATGAATGTAATATTCACTAAGCAATCGTATGACTTATTAATTTACCAATTTGTTACTTGAATTGTTTATTTGGTGAAAAAGTAGGCCTACTGTAGATAAATTTGATTAAATTACTGCTATTTGTACTTAGGCCTTTTCGATTTCATTACACATCACACAATTTCCAAGGTTTACGGAGTTTGTAAAGATATAACTTAGCCTATTAAATCAGTAAACCGAGGTAGTTTTGACTTTTAGTAAAAAATCTAGACAAAATATATTGAAATTACGATTTGAATCATTACTTTTCTGAACTCTTACTTATCGTTCATAGTGCTGAAGAACCCCAAAAGTAGAAAACGTTATAAAAATCAAATTCTTCAGTACTGTTGAACTCACTATTCAATGCTTCTTCGCGAGATATTGGATCGGATAGCTCGCCAGAGAAATAAGTAACATAATCGTTCAACGCAGCTGGGAGGTTTCTGACGCGCTGCGGTCGAGTTGTTGTGTCCGGAATAATGTTCATGTCAGTAACATCAGTAACATCGTCGTTACTTCGGTTTACACCAGATCCTGTTGGAAGCACATCATCATTATTGGACACATCAGGACCGGTTTGTGTCTGACCACTAGTACTGTCCTGACTATCAGACAAACTTCCTGTTGGTTCGGGAAACACATAAAAATCTAAAGTCTTTACTCACATTTTTCAATAAAGAACTTCCCCACTGATTTTCAGAAAAAGTGACGTCTCTAGATATGAAAGTTATTTTCTTCTGGGTATCATACAACCTGTACCCTTTACTAAACTGACAATAACCAACAAATATACAAGGAGTAGATCGTGGACTAAGTTTTTTACGTTTCTCGGCAGGAATGTGACCAAATGCCTTACAACCGAAAATTCTGAGATGTTGTAGAGTAAGCTTGTTACCTGACCACACTTGTATTGGAGTTAGTTCCACGGACCTGCATGGTGATCTGTTCAGAAGGTAAGCAGCAGTATTCACAGCTTCAGCCCAAAAACTAGATGGAAGCCCAGACTCTATCAGCAAACATCTTGCTCGTTCTAGGAGGGAACGGTTGAGACGCTCTGCCTTTCCGTTTTGCTGAGGTGTGTAAGGACATGTAGTTTGATGCACAATACCTGATGACTTAAAATACTTAGTTAAGTTTCGATTACAGTACTCCGTACCATTATCTGTACGCACCACTTTTATCTTCTTGTCAGTTTGTTTTTCAGCATACTCTTTGAACGTTTTAAAGTGACCATTGACTTCGTCCTTTGATCTCAAAAAATAAACAAAACACATGTGACTGTAGTCATCTAAAAAGGTCAAAATATACCTAGACCCACCAAGACTATTCACTTCCATAGGACCTACCAAGTCAGAATGCACTAGCTCCAGATAATGACTGCTTTTAGACTCACTCTTAGGAAAGGGTAAACGATGGCTTTTTCCTATCATACAGATATCACAAACAGTTTCTGGCTTACTACCAGAAATTTTGATATCATCAGCCAAGCCATCAACTAATCTTGTAAGGCTATCGAAATTCAAATGTCCCATACGCTGATGCCAGAGCGTTAAGCCACTGCTTTGCATGGATAATGCAGATGTGTTCATAGGCATATCCAACTTAAACAGGTTGTTTATTAAACTAGCAGAAGCAATGAGCTGTCCTGTTGAATTGAAAACTTTGGCTCCATCACTATTGAATACCACAGAGTTTCCTTTATTTACAATTTGACTCACTGATAAAAGATTTACTTTTAAGTTAGGCACATAATGTACATTACTTACATTTGCTTCCGAGACCTCACCAGAAATACATATTGGAAGCTTCAAATCACCGACGGTATCAGTCACCATTGTCTCATTATTTGCTGTGGTGATCGTTAGTGCTTGGCCTTTTCTTGCGTTCAGAAGCATGTTAACATCAACACATAAATGACAAGATGCACCGCTGTCTAAAAAGAACTCATTACTAACGCCCGATTGCATTGAAAATGCAGCAAAGAGTGACGTATTAGATTTGCCAGAGTTTACGTTATTTTTGCTCACTACTCTTGTAGATGTACAGTTCTTTGAGATGTGACCGTAAACATTGCATCTATAACATCTCGGACCTTTCTTCACATTTTTGTCCGAACTACTCGTGTTTCTGTTCTTTTCATACACTTTGTGAACTGTCCCTCTTGAACTGGAACCATACAGTGCAGAATCAGTTCCTGCAAAAGTCATATCACGTTGTACCGGAGACACATCTTGCAATAACTTTGTTTTTATTGCATCCGCTGTGACTTTATTGCCTGAAGATTCAATTCCCATTATCATTGGTTCATACCGGATGGGTAAACCAGCTAGTAAGATTGTTCCAACCCATTCATCGGTTACCTGCAGACCCACATTTGTAAGCTTGTGAGCAGTTGTGACTATGCGGTTCACGTATTCCTCAACAGAACTACAATCTTCCAGCTTTGTAGTTATTAGAATACGGAGAAGTCCAACTCTCCTGCTTAAACCATCATCTTGAAAAGCCTTCGTTAAATTGTCCCAAGCTGCCTTTGCGGTGGTTGTGTTTTGAATATGTACATAATTCACCGGATCAACCAATAAGATCAGCTTTGATCGACATTTAGTGTCCTTTTTCTTATCCTGTTCTACACCAGATACACAGTCCCACAAATCCAAATCTTCCAGGTAAGCTTGTACTGCAAACTTCCATGTATCAAAATTCTCACGACCTTTAAGCCTTTCAATTGGTAATGAATTTTGAGTCATATTGCTGTTACAAACTTACGAAGTTGGTATTCTTTAAATGAAGCACTGAATAAAATATCCTGGGCCCATAACCTGTTATAAATGGACTTAAATTATGTAGAATGATAAAGAGAAAGGTGTTTTAGGTACAAGATTTACTCAATACAAAACCACAACATAGCTTTCCACAAAACACATCTGGTATCCATGACAACTAATTTGTACACAGAACACATGTGATACCAAAATGAACTATTCACACAAATCATATTTCAACAAGTACAAATACAAATCACCATTTTCATATACATTCAAACGTTTCATTTTAATGAATTTGCCTTTCTAGCAGTCGAGTTCACCGATATCAATGTCAGCTTATATTTCACCGCACAGATTGCGATCTCAGCACAAAAACTGGAGCAGCCCTCCAGAAACTATTATTTCCAAATGTCGCAGTGGCACTGCAGCTGCCGATCAGCTGATAAGTCCTTAGTCGGACATTTCTCTCCGTTTACTTCCGGTTTAGTTGTCAATTTCCTGTCGGAGTTTTGAATAGTTTAAGCATTTCAGTCACTTGAAAGACTTTCAACATGACTTCAAGATTCTTTTGTTTCAAATCTTGAATGGCTCAACCGGTGGGTGGGATTGGTTACAAAATTTATTATTGAGTAAAATGTTTTATTTATGCATAGAGTTAGTTTTTTTTTTCGATAAAAATAACATGAACACATTTATATGTTATTTAAATTGGAATCTTTATAGGCAACCATGTTTCTTTAAAACCTTTTTCTCAGCTCGTGTGCATTGCAAGGAAAATATACGCATACTGTTAGAAAGATATTTACCTGTAGATGCGCAGAATTCCCTTTATAAATTAATATAGGCTCAAAAATGAGCACAAAAATTGAATTTGAAATTTTAAAAAACTAACATGGGCCTTATGGGTTGTCATGCTTGTTACAAAATATAAACAGAAAATCTAAACAAATGGAAGAAATTAATTACAGTCACATGTTTTTTTCATTTACAGCGTGGGGTGAAAATAGATAAATCAGTTTATGGACAGCGACGGTATTTAAAAGCTATTGTCTAAAATATTGAAAATCCATAATACAAATGTTTAAATGATTGAAAAAGGATTAAATTTGATTTTTTTACATATATACGTTAAAAAAGCTATTCTAAACCTACACACCACTATACGAAATCATTTTATATTACCCATACGCAATCAATTTTCATAATACATATTGCATAGTATGTTGTTAAACCTACAGGTTCCATTTATCTTTGACTCAGCAGTGTAATGTAAACATTTTTCACGAAAAGTTTGCATAAAGCTTGCAAAGATGAGACAAAGGCAAGGATCGATATCACTCGAGTTTGAAGTGGACAACGCCTGAATTGCGGGGAACGTGATATGGGTACAAGGTGCCGAACACAGCGTCGCCGTCACTACGTTCCATATACCGTAAACGTTTTATTTATTTTTTACTTGTACTTCGACGCCATTGGTATTTTTATGTTTTTTTTGTAAGGGAGCCGTCTAAAAACTCAGGTATAGTTACTACCTAAAGTATCTTTTTAGATCACATCATTAATTAATAGCGTGAAGACAATAGTTACTGAAGAAACAATGTTATATTGTAATACAAGACATTAAGATTGAACACAACTACTGTAATCTTAGGATTTTCACACTATTTTCTTTGTATAAGTAGTTTACATTAATTTTATTATGTTCCAAAAACAAAATCAACTTACGTTTAAACTCAATATATTATACACTACAATACAATATTTTACATTTGAGATACAACTAAACAACTTACCCAATGAAGCAACAGTTTCCGCAGACATTAAAAGCCACAAACCCGAAGAGACACGACATCCCATATGTTTCACAGTCATGCACACTTGATTTATCACACAACATTCCTATAACAGCAGTGTTCAAAACTGTGCCGTGCTAACATCATCATGTACGTTGTGCTTGGAGTTGGAATACAAATTGAAACAAATATTCAAGCTTGTAGTAATGATATGGCAACACTAAATAGGTAAAATGTTTTTAGATATTTTAATTGTGAAAATGGTTTCTGACGTGTTTTGAATTAAAATATATTTTGTACTGCAATTTTTGGAATCGTTAGCGTCTTGGACTTATATAAATCCTTAAATTTTAACACTTATTTGACATAACCTTTTTTAAACCAAAATGTACACCTTAAAAAGAAGCGCCTCACAATCACACAACTGTGATTTATTTAGTAACCGCTCTCCAACGAATAATGAACCGTGGAAAGTAAATATGTGACTTTTTCAACGTCTCCGGCAACCCCTCGAGGTCACACTAACTCGCGGTCAGACAATACAAGAGCTCAATATATCTCCCGTTTTTCTCAAACGGGTTGAATAATTTGAATAAGAAAAGACTTTCGCGGGGGGACGAGTCCAGCCGCGCCTGGGATTTGGGACTTTGTAACATCCCGCGACCGTCTGGAGGGGAGGTCCTGAAATCCCGTGTAAACACCTGGGACCCAATTTAAATTGGTTTTCGGTTTCGAAAGACCGCGAGTTGAAAAGAAGGGGAGCTCTGATCTTCCCAGCGATCTAGACTGCCCATTTTGGAGTCGTTCTTTAGAAAGTTTTAATTGTCGTGAAGTACTAAGTGCTCTGTGAGTTTGATACATACATTGGTACATAAATATATGAAATGTTTTTAGTTTTTCAATAATAAGCAATTTTAGGGTACGTGAAGATATACTTAAAATAAATTGAAATAGTGCTTCAGGTTCGTCGTTTTTACCTTTGCGCCAAACTTGGTCTTTAAAACAACGTTATGAAGGTAGCACAGGCTGCATGAAGGTAAAAATCCCTTTTCTGTGTGAAAAATTATATAGGCAAGCCTGCAGTTTTGTTAAAGTCTCTTACAAAAAACTGTTATGACTCGACTGTATTAATAATTTTAGAAGAACATTCAAATATAAATTAACTACTTTTTTTGCAAAATTAACAACCCAAATAAAATACATTTTTTTAAATAATAATCCAAACTAATTTACTGTTTTAAATCTTGATGTAGTAGAGAATTTGGTTTCCAACTATACAAGCAAAATTTAAAAATAGTTTGAACAATTATGTAAAAGGTGTTCGCCAATTGGTAGGCTACATAATTGTGTAAAACTGAATAACATTATATTTTTTATGTGTAAATTATAATATTTAACATATTTACGAAGAATTGGAAAAATAATCAAAATTCAATGCCACACTTTGACTACATCTCCATGTCTGAATGATGTAGCAAGTGTGGATTGTGCAATAAAGATCCCCATACCATTGAATCGAGCCGATTAAAATTAAGTACTGTTAAATTGCTTCTATTGCCACCCCGCCAGGGGGGGAGGGGGGGGGGAGAAACCACTCGGTACCTGATAACGTCCGAGTTCCCACCCCTCTTTTGTCATCCCTTATACAGGGTGTCCCATAAGTAAAGTGCCAAACTCTGGGAATAGGTTCTATGGGTCAAAATAAAGAGAAAATCAAGAATAAAGTTTTTTTCAAAAACGCTTCGTTTACCAGATATCCGCCATTTTGTATTTTTTACTAAATAATTTATATCTTCTGATTTTTTCAACCGATCCTTATAAAACTCGGTAAGTATGTTTAGATAAAAGAGACATACTGTAGAAAAAAAATTCAACTTGGTCCAATTTAAAATTTCAAAATGGCGGCCATTTTGAACATTTAATCTAAAATTACGGGAAAACGGTAAAAAATACAAAAATGTACTAAGAACACTTTTTTTTATAAAATTTTATTTCCAATCTATCAACACCAAAAACATGAAAATCGAACAAAAAATAACCGAGATACATTAAAATGTGTGTTAAGAGGCAGCAAAAAATCCATTTGTTGTAAATAGCCCCAATCAGCTGAACAGCTGATTGAAAAACATGTGTTTGTTGAGTTGCATTGTTGTTATTATTGTTCTGTTTACTTTAAACATCATCATTGTGATCAGGTTAGGTTGATATTTTCTAAGTTTATTTAAATGCCGAACCATAGCTATTCTAATGTCGAGCTAGCTGATATTCATTTTTTTTACGGCTTAGGTAATGGGAATTCGCGTGAGGCATGCCGCCTTTACGCAGAAACGTTCCCCAACCGACGAATTCCGTGTAGGAAAGTGTTTGTAAATGTTCACAGGAATTTGAGGGAACGAGGAACACTAAAATTCACTGAGAAGACCGGACGGGCTGTTTCTGTAGATACATTAAATAATCAAGAAAGAGTTTTGACGGCCGTGGAAGAAGACCCAAGTACTAGTGTTAGAAGAATATCGCTTGAACATGGTATTTCAAAAAGTTCTGTGTGGCGGATTCTACATAATCAGCAGTTGTATCCTTACCATATCCAAAGGGTGCAATGCCTAACCGATAGGGACTTTCCACCCCGTATTAACTTATGTCAATGGTTCTTGCAACAGATCGCATTACTTCCTCTGTTTCTCTCCAACATTTTATTTACCGATGAGGCTGGGTTCTCGAGAGAAGGAATTTTTAATTTTCATAATAATCACTTCTGGGCCGATGAAAATCCCCATGAGATATCACAAAGAAGGCATCAAGTGCGCTTTTCTCTCAATGTTTGGATAGGCATTGTTGGGGACTATCTTATAGGGCCATGGTTTTTACCCAACCGACTTAATGGTGTGTCTTACTTAAACTTTTTAACACAAGATCTTCCCGGATTGCTAGAAAACTTACCCCTTCATTTGAGAAACAATATGTGGTTTATGCAAGACGGTGCGCCACCACACTTTTCATTGGATGTAAGGCGACATTTAAATCAAGTGTTTGGAAATAAATGGATAGGGCGTGGGGGGCCCATCCCATGGCCTGCCAGGTCTCCTGACCTTAATCCCCTGGACTTTTTTGTATGGGGCTATTTAAAATCTTTGGTTTACCATACCCCTGTTGACAGTATTGAGGACTTAAGGGAACGAATTGTAGCAG